ATATTTATTATTATAGCTGTTAGTAAATAGTTTTTTTTGGGGGATAAAATGATTCATGCATGAATTTTGGCAGGTTTAGTGCGATTCACCCTTGAACAACTGTGCTCATAATGACCAGCGCTGCTAGTGAGAGAGCAGCTAGTGTTTTATAGTCTGATGCAGCACAGAATAAGAATAAGCCAGTGTCATTGCATCAGAGCAAAATCAGCCGTGCTGGATTACAATCATCCAGCTATCGATGCTTTGTTTTCTAAAGTGCATTGGATGCACAAAAGTCTCTATGACTATAATGCAGTACAGCTGTTGCAGAACAGATATTGCTTTCAGAGCATGCATTGCACACACAGTGTTATCAGAGGCGTCTGAAATCAATCAATTGTATAACCGACCTGTCAATCAATCATTATTTTAATACACACTGTTAATGTGGGTGAACCTGAAGGAACGTGACGCCCTAAAAGATTTGCACCGTGACCAGAATGATCTTCACAACACAAGAAATGTCATTTCATCAAGCTCACACACCCACATGCACAGGATTCCCTCACGAACACATTTCCCAAGCCGAGCTAGAGATTCCCACACTACAATGAACAACATGAGCAAAAATCTTTATAATAGCACATTTCTACATATCAGATCCTTAAAATATTAACGCAGTGTCCTAATAGCGTCTGCATTAAATTCTAATATTAACACTTGACTGGTTGATTAACAGGTTGATGAATTAATCTTAAAAGGAAAAGCACTAACACCTTCACTAAACAATTCTGAAAATCTCATTAGCAAGACAAAAACATGTTGTTTTTACACGTAACGTTACCATGACAAAATTCAATTTTTTGGGACATGAACATGAAATATCACTTGTAACTGTTAAATACCATAATTTCATGGTTTATATTAAAGTCCCATGGTACTGCAACAGTGAGGAATACGATTAAATAGAGATTTATACCATGGTACATGTCAAAAAGCTAACGTATGGATTTGTATTCAAGATCACTAGCAAAAAGTACCATGGTAAACTGTGGTAAACGAGTGTGGTAATGATTCATTCTTCTCATATGGTACTTTTTTTACAGGGATTCTGTGTTATTAAAATTCTGTCCCAACAAAGGGCGAATGTATGACTGTTACTCACCCCCGACGCAGAGCAGAGACATCGCGCCGCGTCGCGTCGCGTCAATCCTCCGCCGGAACGGGACAGTCCGTTAACGCGCTGTGACTAGATTCAACACACAGCCATAACTGCAGCTTCTGAACAATAAACGCGCGAATAAACAGACGAGCTCACAGAAAATCCTCACATAAAGCACTTTCCCCCTCAGTTCACCGGCCGTTTGTGCGTCTAGCTAACTGCCATCTTTGCTTCAGCACCAGCGGCGCGGGAAGAGCTCGCGGCGTGACGTCACGCCGAGGAGAAGCTGGAGTTTCTCTCCGTCCCCCGCACGCGCGCATGCAGAACTGCGCCTACGTACAGCAGATCGAAGTATTACAGGTTCATTATACAATAAATATTTGAATAGAAAACGGCTGGACATTTCAGATATATGGGAGACGTCTGCAGATATATGGGAGACGTCTGCATTGATTAAAATTAGAATATAAATTAATATAAAACGAGAATATACAAAACATGTACTGTATATTCTCATACACAACAAGATCAACAGCCACATTCTTCACAGACAAAACTAGAACAATCAGTAGTCAGTTCTCAGCCCCACACACACAGGATCTCAAACCAACCACACCCACTGCTAAAACTCCCATCAACATTCCCTCTAGACCCAATCCCCTCACACCTTCTCCAAGCAATCTCTCCTACACTCTTACCAGCACTCGCACACATCTCTCCTCACAGACACCTTCCACACTGCATTCAAGCAGGCTCGGGTAACCCCACTGCTAAAAAAAACCTACATTAAACACTTCACTTACAGATAGCTACAGACCTGTCTCTCTCCTTCCATTCATAGCGAAAACCCTCGAACGAGTTGTTTTCAACCAGGTATCATTGTGTCTTTCACAGAACAACAAACTGGACGCTAACCAGTCAGGTGCCTCTCTTTATCTCCTTGCACTGGCTGCCGGTTGAGGCTCGCATCAAGTTGAAGACATTGATGCTTACATTTAGAACAGCCACAGGCTCAGCACCCGCCTACTTCCACTCACTACTACTAATCCAGAAGTATGAGATCCGCTAGTGAGCGACGCCTCGAGGTACCATCACAGAGAGGCTCAAAATCACTTTCCAGAACATTCTCGTTCACTGTTCCTGGCTGGTGGAATGATCTTCCCACCCCTATCCAGAATGCTGAATCCCTGACAATTTTCAAGCGACAGCTGAAAACTAATCTCTTTCGAAGCTACTTTACTTCATCCTAAAAAAATTTTTAAAAAATTGTCTTTCTCTTTATTTATTCCTTCCCTTTCTAGCTTGTACTTATTTGAACAATGCCTGAAACTATTCCCCAATTGTAAGTCGCTTTGGATAAAAGCATCTGCAAAATGACTAAATGTAAAAATAATAATAATAAATATTGAAATATCACTAATCAATGACATCGATTTTCAAAAAAAAAAAAGTATAATAATAATTCTAGGCTAACAGAAATTGTCATAATAACAAGGGTATTCACAAATTAATTTATTTTTGATTACTGAATAATTTATACATTTTAAAGGACTTCCATTTTATAGACATTGCAAGAATAATTTCAAGTCGTTTTGTCTTTGGAGTTCATAGAAAATGGTAATATGAAAAAGTTTTTAAATTTTGATAAATCATTCTTGTTTGAATCATACACTGAAATAAATGGTGTAGAAACATTTTTCACTAAAAAAATCGCTAGTAATTTTCACAATTAGTAAAAATGGCACGTTGCACATTAATTAAACGTGAAATTTTGAAGTAGAAAGACTGAAATAATATTCTCTTCTAAAACCTACTCCAATAATCTTTGTTTTATTTACGACTTTTGTAATAATAATAATAATAATAATAATAATAATAATAATGATAATAAATTAATTAATTAACAAATAAATAAAAACTTTCATCCTAAGAAATTGCATCATATTTTTGGACAAGGATTTTTGATAAGGGAAATGTCTCATAAAATATAATATAACATAACATAACATAACATAATATATAATGTAATGTAATGTAATATAATATTTCGAATTAAGAATCCTGCAACTACAGTTTTCTCTTTCATTCTGTATAAAATGCCAAATGCATAAACGTAAATATATAATGTAAGATAAACACTTTGGGTGGATACATTTGTGTTCATTCCTATTCTAACTGCATTTCCAGTGTCTCATCATCGTTATAGTGGAAACAATTTCATGACGGGGCTTTTTTTACGCAGATGCTGCATTTGCTGCAGCGTTTGGACGTGTGACGTCATCGCGGCGCTTCCCCGCTCATCCAGATGGGGGCGTGACATTCAAGTATTATTAGTCTGACATGGTGTTAGGCTAAATATCCTTTGACTTTTGTCCTTTGCATGCATACATGGACACAATAGCACGTGACTAACCAGGTAAACAATATCAAGTGTATATAGAGACAACAGATCATTTATTCTTGAGCTTCTAGGGCGGTTTCCTGGACAGAGATATAGCCTAGTCCTAAACTAAAATGGCCCTTTAAACCAGATTCACAGACATCTGCTTTCTCTGTGATGGTTTTAAATAGTCTTAGACTTAGTCTAGTCCAGAATCTAATAGGCTGATTTCCTGAAGGAAGACTAGAGCTACTTCAGGACTAAATTGATGGTTAAATTAAACCTACCAGGAGGAAGGTTTAACTTCATTTACGTAGTATTTTCAATCTTTATATATCAAAAATGGTAAATATGGTCAAAGAAGCCTGTGAAAATAAATCTACATTGTTATAATCATTTAGATTTTTGATTTTAAATCTGGCTACAATTAATGGCACCCTTTTATTCAATACTTTTTGCAACGTCCTTTTCCCAAGATAACAGCTCTGAGTCTCTCCTATAATGCCTTATGGGTTTGGAGAACGTCTGACAAGCGATCAGAGACCATTATTCTATACAGTATCTCTCCAGATCCTTCAGTTTCCCAGCTCCATGTTGATACACTTCAGTTTTCTATAGGGTTCAGATCAGAGGACTAGGATGAGCATGGCAGAACCTTGCTTTTGTGCTCAGTGGCCCATTTTTGTGTTGATTTTGATCATTTCTAGGGGTACAAATAATTGTGGCCATTGTGTATTAGAGAAAATTTTTCCTTATGTGATTTTGTTGAAAAGTTAGATTTTTTTAAATATTTTTTTTTTGTTATAAATATTATTTATTTAAAAAAGTATATTATAAAATTACTTTTTTTTTTTAAATATCAAAAGGATAAAAAAATTCTGATTTATTTTCACAATCTTCTTTGATCATATATACTTAGGGTGCCAATAATTCTGACTCTCTCTCTCTCTAACAGCTGCTTTATGTATAACATCATAAACAATAATAATAAAAAATGTTGCAAAACTGACAACACCTGAATTTATGCAAGAATTCATTCCAAACAGATTTCCAGGCATTCCTTTTCTTTTATTCCACACCTAATGTGTGCAGTTTATTTTGCTTGCTTTAAAAAAAAGTTTCCTCTTGTTCAGTCAATAGTACGTTTTTTTTATTTTTTTATGTTTGATTGCAGTCTTTTTTCTGCTGACTTTGTTTTCCTTAGGTTTGCTTCTCAGTTCCATACCATTTTAAGCGTTTCTTGGTTCATTCCATGTTTTACAGGCAACCTCTGTCATGTTCATTCAGATCAGCACAGCTGGTTTTAAATTAATCTAGTTTATTTTAGTTCAGGACTCAATAGTCCAGGAGTATTTAATCTGTGTTTCAGAAAGCCATTTTTAAAGCCATGAATAACTACTCTAGATTAATCCTACTCCAGACTTAATTTAAACCCTGTCTGGGAAACCGCCCCCTAATGTTTAGGATGCTATTTATATTTTCCAGAAATCATAATGGCTATATTCTAAATAAAATGCTAGAATATTAAAAAGAATAGTTATAATAGTTACAAAAATATTCTATTAATTTATATATATATAACACATATATATATATATATATATATTATTTTTTTTATTTTTTTTTTATTTAGTTAGTTAGTCATTTATTAGACTCTTTTATCCAAAGCGACTTACAAATGAGGACAACATAAGCAATCAATTGTAGTATTAAAACAACTAAAAACAGATCCAAAACTAAAAGCTAAAACTTTATAAATACTACTTATACACATTTTGAAAATAAAGAAATTAAATAAAAATGACAAATGCATACCACAAAATTTCAAAACTTAACATTTAAATGAAAAACAAAAAATAAAGCTAAAAACAATTCATATATATATATAATAATTCTAGACAATTGGAATTTGTCATAAACTGCATTAAACCAGTGTATTGACAAATCAGTTTCCTTTTTTTCACTGAATAATTTATATATTTTATATATTTTAAAGGACTTTCATTTTATAGATATTGCAAGAACAATTTCTAGTCTGCTTCGCTGGTATCAGATTTAATAGAAAATAATAATAGAAAAGTATTTAGAATAAAAATTTTGAGTAGTAAAATATTGATAATTAAGGAATATATACAACTCCACACGTGCGCTTGGGACCGGATGTTGTGCTCGTGATGACAGGAAACTGACAGTACGCGAGGTTTGTTTACTCATTCAACGGGTGCACGCCTCAAGATGGCTACTGGAGACAATAGCGGTCGGGTTCCGTGTTTAAATTTCTCCGGACCCGGACCTTTGGGTAACAGCCAACCGAGCAACAGTCCTTACGCCTTGGCCGCGAGTCACGGAGGATCGGTTGGAGGCGGCGGAGGCTCTCAGGGCGTAACGAGACGCTCAAATCCTCAACCGGGGCCTGCGGGCTTGGAAAGCCCCGGTGTTGCCTCAGGACCTCCGCCGAACCTGATGAACTCTCTCCCGGCTGCCGCGGCGGCGATGGCTCCGGCCGCCTCGAATATGACAGGAAACCCGTCTAACGCTGCGATGACACCGGCCATACACTCGTCTCTGTCCGCCGCCGCCGTGCTCGTGTACCGGGAGCCCGTTTATAACTGGCAGGCGACGAAAAGCACCGTGAAAGAGAGATTTGCGTTTTTGTTCAATAATGAAGTACTGAGTGATGTTCACTTTCTAGTGGGTAAAGGAATGGGAGTCCAGCGGATACCTGCGCACAGGTGGTTCACTAAACACACTGATGACATGATGATGCCAGTATATTATCAAAATTAATCTTGACATCATTTACTCACCACGATGTCGTCTTAAAACCTGTATGACTTACTTTATCCGTGGAACACAACAGG